GCAGAGACCGCAGCGGTGGGGAAGCTCGGAGGCCCCGAGGCGGGAGAGCCCCAGGAGGGAGGGCCCCAGGCGGGAGGGCCGGGCGCCGGGTCGCAGGGACGTGGACGAGAGGCGCACCCAGTGCGCGCGGCGGAGCCTTCCCGTCCGCCGGACAGGGGACTCGGGGAGGCGCGCGCCCAGCGCGGGAGAGGTGATTGATGGCGGAGCGAGGGGGCGAGCCGGCGCGGGCTTCCGCCGCGGCCCCTTCCCCTCGGAGAGGCACGGGTGGCCGGGGCGCCGGGGGGGCGGCTGGGGCGCCCGGGCTCGTGCGTGGTTTTGACTTGGTGAAAATCACCACTTCTGACGTCGTCCACACTCTCCAGGAGATGGTTTCCCCAGACCCCCAAATTATCGTGGTGGCCCCCCGGGCTCAACCCGACTCTACGCAAGTCCAGCGCCCTGAGGACGGGGGAGTCATTATCCGGATATTTTGGGTGGGCCCCCAAGGCGAGCTGATTAGACGAAGGCCGGTGAGCTCGGTGTTGCAGGTAGGATCGGGGCGCGGGTTCCCGCCCTGCTGCTCCGTCCCGCCCGGTCCCCGCCCGGCCTCTGCTGCGGACCGCACCTGGCGGCCGCCGCGGCTCCACCCCAGCTCCCGCGGCACCGGGGGGCGCTCAGGCTCCGGCCGCCGCGCTGCTCGGGCAGGTGGCGGCTGCGCGCCCGCCCGTGCCCCCGGGGATTGCGCCCTGCCCTGCAGCCCCCCCCCCGCCCCTTGCGAGACTCGGGGACCCTGGCCCAGCACCGGACCACCTGCACCCTCGCTGTCCGTCGGGCGCTGCGGCTCGCGCGGGGAATGCCGCCTGCTTTTCCCGCTTCGCGCCCCCCGCGTGCGCGAGCCTAGAGAACCCCTGGTTCCCCGGAACCCGAAAGGGGGGGCTCCCCCTATACACTTTGGAAAGGGGACTCGGGATTTCTATCGCCTTCTGCCGCTCCCCGCCCCCAACCCCACCGCGCCGCAAGCACCCCACGGCCCCCCCCACCGTCGCCCCCGGACCCGGGGCCCCCCAGCCCTCGCCCCCCCCCCGCTCGAGCCGCGGGGGCGGTCCGAGGGCGGGGCCAGCGCCCGGAGGGCGCCCATTGGCGCGGGCGCGGGGCCAGCGGGGCCCGAGCGGGCGCCGGGCCGCGGGGTGGCGCGGCTATAAGAGCCGGGCGTTGGCGCCCGCAGATCGCCTGCTCTCCGGCGGAGCTGCGTGAGGCCAGGCCGGCCCCCGGCCCCCCCCTTCCGGCCGCCCCCGCCTCCTGGCCCACGCCCGCCCGCGCTCGGCCCGCCAGCGCCTCCACCCGGCCGGCGGCCCCGCGTCCTCGCCGCCCGCCGCCACGCTGCTGACTCCCGCCTCGGGCGCCGTCGGCGGGGCCGCGCTCCGCCGGGCCTGCGGACCCCCGCCGCCTCCTCCTCCATCTACCTCAACGCCCTCTCCCCGCTTCGCCCGAGGAGGCGGTCCCCCCCGCAGGCAGTCCGGCTCGCAGGCCGCCGGCGTTGTCATCCCCCGCGCTGCCCCCAGCCCTCCCCGGCGCGCGGCCCGCCGCTCCCTTCCTCGCCGCGTCCCGAGCGGCTCGGCGCCGCCTCCGCCATCGCCACCCCCTTCCCGGGCCCGGGCTCGCGACGGCAGAGGGCTCCGTCGGCCCGCTCCGAGCCGGGCGTCCGCGGCTCGGGCGCCCCTCCGCTCCGCCCCCCTCCACACCTTCCCCGGCCCTCGACGTGGCGCCCTGCCCTTGCTTCTCTGTGCGCCCCCGGCCCCTCTCTGGCCTCTGGCCCCGGCGCCCGCGCTCCGCTCGCCCGCAGCCTGCCCTGCGCTCCCTCCCGCCCCCCCCAGCGCCTCGCCTCCGACTCCCTCCCCCTCCACGCCCGCCCTCTCGCCCCGCCGTCCCGAAGTGGATTAATTATACGCTTTCTGTTTCTCTCCGCGCTGTTCTCCCCCGCTGCGAGCCTGCCCGCCTCTCGCTGTCCTCTCTCCCTCTCGCCCTCTCTTTGGCCCCCCCCCCGCTCACGTTCTCTCTGGGTCTCTCACTATCTCTGCCCCCCTCTGTCCTTGATACAACAGCTGACCTCATTTCCCGATACCCTTTCCCCCCCTAAAAGTACAACATCTGGCCCGCCCCGGCCCGCAGACAGCCCGCCCTCCCTGAACTATCAGAAGAGTCCCCCCCCAAAAAAAAAGCCATCCCCCCGTTCTGCCCCGTCGCACATTCGGCCCCCGCGACTCGGCCAGAGCGGCGCTGGCAGAGGAGTGTCCGGCAGGAGGGCCAACGCCCGCTGTTCGGTTTGCGATACGCAGCAGGGAGGTGGGCGGCAGCTGCGCCGGCTTCCAGGTAAGCGGCGTGCGTGCGGGGAGGGGAGGGGGCCTGCGGGCCCGGGAGGGCGGGGGCCTGCCCGGAGGGGCCGCGCGCCGGTCTCCCCCTGCGCCGCCGGAGCGGGGCGGGGGGGTGGTGGTGGTGCGCGCGCTGGGCAGGGGCCCCGGGACGTGCCCGGGGAGGTGTGCGCTGTCCGCAAAGCCGACTTCCTGGTCGGTTGGTGGGTGCAGGGGGCTGTTGCAGAGAGTCCGCGACCCGCGCGGCGTGTGGGAGGGCCCTGTTGGTCCTCGGGGTGCGGGGTAACGAGGAGGGGCGCAAGGCTCAGAAACCCACCCTGGTATGTTGACTCGGTGCCAGCAAGACTGAAGGAGGAAGACGGGGTAGGCGGGGCCAGGATGGAAGAGGGGGCGATTTGGCAAGAGGCTCAGACCAGGCGCCACATTTGCAGAGGACCCCCCCACGGCTTCCCCTCCTTCCCTGTCCCCAACATTTCCACCCAGGAATCTGGGGAGAGGGGCTGCTGGGAGGCGCACGGGGGCAGGGGTGTTCAGCCCACAGAGGGTAACTGCCCCTGCCCAGTGGGCAGATGGAACCTTCCATACAAGGAGGTGTAGAGCAGCCCCCCGCCACATCTCCTGGTGCCTGCTTGGGCTGGGGGTGCAGCAGGAGCCCCCCACCCCCACCCCGTGGTACCGCGCTAAGGGATGGACCAGGGCTAGCTGTTGGGGGTGCAGGAGAGAAGGGACTGGCTGCGAGGACCGAGGGGGCGGGAGCAAAGGGGGCGGGGGGAGTGGTCAGCGGGAGAGGGGTGGGGGGTAGGGTGGAGCCCGGACTGGGAGGAGCCCGCTCACACATAAAAGCTGAAGCACTGACCAGCCTGCAAACTGGACATTAGCTTCTCCTGTGAGGCAGCCTTCCAGTCTCCTCCTCCTCCTCCTCCTCTTCCTCCTCCTCCACCAACCCCAGCGAGCCTCCTGTCCAGCTGCAGGTAACCAGGGCTGTTGAGCGAGGACCCCCCGCTGCCCTCTCGCTCCGGCCTGCCCTCCTGCTGATGGCCTGGGGCCTCGGCCCCTCGGCCCCTCCTCTCTGCCTCTGCCCTCCTCACCCCTACCCTCCCTCCTGCCGGGCTTGCTCACCTGGCCCACACCTCTCCGTGCCTCTCGGGCCTCTGCTCTCCACTTGTGCTCTGGACCAGACCCCGCACTAGAGTGGCCGGGCTTGCAGGAGGACGCAGCTGCCGCTCGGCCGGCGCCCAGTCGCTTGCTGGCCAAATTGTTCTTAGAATTTGGAAGGGGGCAGGAGCGGGGGCAGCCTGGGAGCCTGGCTGGGGCGCGGCCTAGGGCAGGAGGAGGTGAGCAGGGTGGCACCTTAGATCCTTCTGTGGAGCTGCCCACTGCTCTTTTGCGGGTTTCAGGGAGATCACGCTCCTTTCTTATTCCCCCTCCTCTCCTACAGGATTTATGGCATCAGAAATTTCCTGGGCCTAGCCTGCTGCAGCCTGGCTCCAGGCTGGGAAGGGGCTTGCTGGTTGGTGCCCCCCCCCACATGCCCACTGGGTGTGGAGCCTGGGAGGGGCACCTCTGGGCGGGCTGCCCAGCCCCTAGCGTGGGTAGCATCAGGGTGCCAGTGGGCTCCAAGGCACTCGGTGGTGACTGTCACCCCTGTAAGGGTTTGTACTTGGGCCTGCGGAGGGCAGACTGGGGCTGCCTGCCTGGAAGTGTGGGGAGGGGCTTCCACTTTCTGGAGGGAGCAGGGGCAGCCCCTGCTCAAGCAGCCCCTCCCAAGCCCCCCCAACCCTTAAGAGATCTGGTTAACCCTTGCCTGGGGTCTGCAGCCGCACAGCCTATGCAGGGGGTGTGTCCTTCTAGACTGGGCCCTGAGGACCTGGTGTCCAGCCTCCAGGTGGCCTGACCTGTGGGGTTTGGTACCCCAGTGGGGAGAAGATCTGGTGATCCCAGAGAGACTTTGACGTGTGTCTAGCCCTGAGTGGTGTGATGCCAGGCCTGCAAAGAAGGCTTTTGGCCTTTGTGTTTTAGGGTGCCCAGGGCAGACTGGAGTGGGGGACTGAGCGATTCAGGAGAGCAGGTCCTCTGGGAGTGTGGTTGGCACTGCGCACTAGCCCCTGGATCCTTGACCTGGGCTTTGCTCAGCCACAGACTGGGACGGGGGAGGGGTGGGACTGGCCCTGCAGGACCTCCTGCTGCTGGGGGGGGGGGTAGCTGGTCCTCTGGGATGCACATGCTCTGTGGTGGGGTGGGGCTGTCTGCCATCTTGGCTGATGCTGGGAGGTCCGAGGAGTGGCCACTGCCCCGTGCAGCCCCGCCCCCATGACTTCATAGGCCAGAGGCCAGGTTCAGTGTCCGGCAGCTGGGGGTGGCTGAGCTCCTGCTGGGGTGATGATGGGGGATGATCATCCCCACATGAGATTGTTGACCAGCACCAGGTGCCAATCAGAGATGTGCTTCAGGCACCCCGCCTGGGCAGTGAAAGTGCGTGTTATTTCTGCAATTAAAAGGATCGTGTTTAGGAGGACACCGTGCTCTCAAGCTATAATGGAACTTGGAAAGAGGGGACAGCTGGGCTGGTGTTTGGGGTTGGGGGTAGGTGGTGGGGCCAAGCCCCAGCGAGGCAGGCGGGTGAGCTCATGGCCTCTTCCCTCTACCCCGCAGATGCCGATGGGGGTCCCGATGGGGAAGTCGATGCTGGTGCTGCTGACCTTCTTGGCCTTGGCCTCGTGCTGCTTTGCTGCTTACCGCCCCAGTGAGACTCTGTGCGGCGGGGAGCTGGTGGACACCCTCCAGTTTGTCTGTGGGGACCGCGGCTTCTACTTCAGTGAGTAGCTCAGCATGCGGTGAGGCCAGGGGCAGGGCGCACACAGCAGGCACTCAATAAATGCTGGAGGGCACCCCCCCCCCCCCCGCCGAACCATCACCCAGATGCCTGTGGATGCCCTCTAGGATGCCTGGTGTGGGGGGCCAGGCAGAGGGAAACTCCTGCAAGGTGACCGCCTAGGCTCTCTTGCTCTGAGCCTTCATGAGCACAACTGAGTCCACGTTTAGGGGGCGCCTGCCGTGTGCCTGGGTGGGCTCACACTCCCTGATTTGTCCACAATACGACTTGAAGTAGAACACTCTCCTCCCAGGAAGGGGGGATATCTGAGTGGAGGCCAGCCCTTGGCAGGTGGGGGTGGGGGCGCTGGACTGGGAGGGGAGAGGGAGGGGGTTGCTTTCCCTCACTACTTCTTCTGGACCTGCTTGCAGACAGAGCTGTGAGCACTGAAGTTTCCCCCACATTTGCACGGTGCCCGACCTTTCGACAGTGGGATTACCTGAATTAAAATTAAATAAAATAGGTCAGAGACCAGTAAAAACCAAAGCATCTGTCGCAGCTCCACCTGGGCACAGTGGGGGTGAGAGGCATCCCTGCTATAGGACAGCACTGGGGGCGGGCCACCATGTGGGGTGCCCACCTGCTGGCTCAAGAGCTCTCTGGCTGCTCCTCATGCTTCTCTATTTCCATCCCTGAGACCTCTGCTTCTCCTTGCCCCATCCCCGTGTGGGACCCCCAGGTGGAGGTGATCCCTTCCTCGGGGGTGTGGGCCCTTGACCTCACCTCCCAGAAAGCTGGGCCTCCGTTTCCTTACCTAAGGATGGGGCAGAGGAGCAGGCCCAGGTGGACCTTGCAGGTGGAGAGGGCAAGTATGCCTCCTGGGTTTAGCCCTGATGCCGGAGCTGGGTGGGGGTGGGGGACGCCCTCGTGGTCAGGCCTGGCCCTGGCACTCCACATGTGGCAAGCCCCTCTGCAGCCTCTACTTACCCACAGACACCAGCCTCAGTATCTCACAGCTTCTCTCTGAAAAGCGCTCCTGCTTCTCCTTGCTTCTGAAGCCCTGGCCACCCTGGTCTCACCTGTGCCCTCTCTCGCGTGAGCACCTGCCTCGTTTGGGGGCAGGAAGTGGCATGGTAGGGTCTGGTGCCCAGGGAGTGGGTCCCTTGCCAGGAGGGCCCGGCTGAGCCCCCTGCCCCCGTGGGACCTCCTCCCCAGGGGTGCCTGCCCTTGGCCCCCCAAGGTGAGGGCCGAGACCTTTCCTCGCAGCTGACCTTGGAGCCTGAGCAGCGGAGGGACGGGGAGGACGGGAGGAAAGGAGGACGTGGTTTCATGCAGGTCCTCACTCCTCCCCTCCCGTCTTCCTCTTCCTCTCCCAAGCCTGCCTCAGCGTGGCGTCTCGAGGGCTGGGAACCGCCCGGGCTCCTGCTCTGCTCAGGGACGGCGGCACTTGCGTCCCAACCTGGCCTTCAAGATGGGACCCTGTGCCCCGCACTGTGGGGGCTGGATCCCTGGTGGGCGGCCTCCTGAGCCAGCCTCATGCCAGCACATTTTCCCCACTTCCCTGGGCAGCGGGACCAAGGTGGGGGCTGTGTCCACTCTCCATGCGAGCAGGGAGGCACCAGGAGGCCAGGGGCTGGTCCTGGCACATGCACCCCCCACTTCCCCTCCTGTCCTTCCTGGGCACCCCACCTGCCCACTCTTACACCCTTCCTCCACGAGGCTGGCTGTCCCCCTGTCCTGCCCCCCCGCCCCGCTTGCCTTGGGTGGCCACCGGCCAAAAGCCCGCTTGTGGGGGGACCGTGGGGGCCGGTGCTCAAGTGCGGCTCTTCTTCCCCCTGTGGGACTTCCAGGCAGGCCGGCGAGCCGCGTGACCCGCCGCAGCAGCCGTGGCATCGTGGAAGAGTGCTGTTTCCGTAGCTGCGACCTGGCCCTTCTGGAGACCTACTGTGCCACCCCCGCCAAGTCCGAGAGGGACGTGTCGACCCCTCCGACCGTGCTTCCGGTGAGAGGGGACCTGGTGTCGGGGTGGGAGGTGTCACCTCTGAGCTGGGGGACTAGGGTGCGGCCGGCGCCCAGGGCCTGCAGTGTGGCTGGGGTCCCCATGCTGTGGTCGTGGCTGGTCACCCATCGGATGGCCCCCCACGAGCCAGGCACCCCCTGACTGGCCCTTCCCCCTCAGGACAACTTCCCCAGATACCCCGTGGGCAAGTTCTTCCAATACGACACCTGGAAGCAGTCCGCCCAACGCCTGCGCAGAGGTCTGCCTGCCCTCCTGCGCGCCCGGCGGGGTCGCATGCTCGCCAAGGAGCTCGAGGCGTTCAGAGAGGCCAAGCGTCACCGTCCGCTGATCGCCCTGCCCACCCACGACCCCGCCACCCACGGGGGCGCCTCTCCAGAGGCATCCGGCAATCAGAAGTGAGCCAAAATGTCGCGTAATTCTGCAAGACGGCACCGTCCACCTCGTGCCCTCCTCTTGACCAGGGGCCATTCCATCGGGTCCCGCCTCTAACATCTCTCGAGGTCGCGTTCCCTCTGCGGGCTCCCCCACCCCCAGCCCCCATGCCCCAACCTCCCCATGTCAGGCTCTTCTCTCCTTGGCCCTCTCCATCAGGCTGAGGAGATCCTAGTAACACCTCCAAAAATGTACAAACTCAATTGGCTTTCATAACCCCACAAAATTACCCCCCCAAATTATCCCAAATTGCACAACAGAAAAAACTACGAATTTCTGAAAATCTCTCTCTCTCTCTCTCTCTCTCTCTCTTTCTCCTCTTTCTCTCTCTCTCTCTCTCTCACACACACACACACACACATCAGTCCCCTTAAAACAAATTGGCTTTTTAGGAACACCAGCAAAATTAATTAGTTTAAAAAAAAAAACCCTAAAATTATCAATTGGCTAAAAAAAAAAATACCAAAACCAAATTGGCTTAAAAACAATTGGCATCATGAAAGAATTAGGCCCCCCCTTCCTTCTCTTCTCCAGGGACCTCGAGTCAGATTGGCCGTGGGCTCGAGTGCCTGACCTCCAGGAGAAAGGAAGGGACCCCATCTGCAGGTAGGCACGTCACCATCTGGAGCCGGCTCGCCTCCTCAGGCAAAATTCTGGCCACATCTGGGGAGAATTGGCCTTCTCACAACAGCAAACCCCCAGACTCGTTCCTCACTCTGTTTCCTATCCTTGAAAGTCACCATGGAGCTAGATGGGGGCTCCCAGGGAGGCGAAAGGAGGGGAGAACAGAACATGAACACCGAAATTTGTGAGAATAAACTTTAATTGGCACAAACCCCCAAACACCCTAAAATCCATCCTCCCAAAACCCACACGTCGCAAAATCTTACATCATAATTCCCACCCTAAAAATCACACACACCCACAGACATTCCTGCAGACACTCCCTACATGCATGCACTCACACACATGCTCACACACATGCATATACTCTCACACACATGCTCACACATGCTCACACATATATGCACACACTGCCTCACACATATGCTCACACACATGTACACACGCTCTTGCCCACATATGCTCACACATGCTCTCACACACATGCACACACACACACCCTCACCTGCACACCCTCATGCCCACACACGCACACATGCACACGGATGGGTGAACCCAGCACAGTGCAGGTCAGACCGCTCTCTGAGCTGTTCATTGGTGTGGTTTTCATGTCCTGAGCTCCCTTCCTGGCCCCTGGGATGCGCTCCTCGGGTGGGAGAAGAGCAATCCATCTTTCTGAGGTGAGGGAGGTGGCTTTACCCACGGCCCCCGTGGTGTGAGCCTGATGCCCCCAGGCCCCACCGGCACCTGTGCCCCCTGCCATCATGCAGACTGAGGAACTGATTTGGCCAGACTGGAGGTGGCTGTAGCCGAGCAAGACGTGCCCTACCCGGTAGCCTGACCCCCTAGGTGTGCTCTTGTGAGAAAGATCTGGGACCCCCAGCACACCTAGGGACCATCTTTGCCAGCCCCCTCGGGCCTCTCAGAAATGGGAGGTCCCCTGGAGGCAGGCAAGGATGGTGGGGAGTGTGGGAAGTCTGGCGGTTGGAGGGGCGGGTGGGGGGCAGTGGGGGCTGGGGTGGGGGGATGCTCTAGAGTAGGAAGTGGTCCCGTGAGGTTTGGAGTTGACAAGTCAGGAGCAACAAGTGCAGAATTACAATCCAATCAGGAACCCAAATTTACGCCAATTGATCTATTTCCCCCCTTTAATTGGTTTCTCCTGGGGCTTTTTTCTTTTTTTTTTTTTTTTTTGATCCCTCCTTAGCTTTTTATGCGCTCACGTTACTCCCGTCCCACGTAACAGGGGAGCAGTGACAAAGTAATGACGTACGAAGCCACCACCACCACCACCACCACCACCACCACCACCACCACCACCACCGCGGTAAAGCCGCACGTCCTGCTCTCCGCCATTTATCGTCCCATTTTGGTTTTTGTTTTAATCTGTCCCTTTTGCTTGGGTTGAGTGGAGAGTGGGGCCTCCGTGGGGCGCTGGCCACTACACCCCACGGAGAAGCCTGAGGGATGGGAGTGGGCCACTGCCCGGCCTGGCCTGTGGGGACAGTGGCTGGTCCCCGGAGGTCCTGGGGAGCGGAGGAGGGGGCGGGGAGGCGTCTCCTCGGTGTCCGGAAGGTGCTCGGAGGCCACCAGGAAGGGGCCCCCAGCTGGCCCAGGCTGGCTGGGGGGGAAGGGGTTGCAGGTGTGTAAGTAGAGGGGCTCCATCGGGCTGGAGCAGGTGGTCGCCTTCCGTGCACTTGGGGAGCCCTCCCCCCACCCCTCGGTGACACCTTGCCCGTTTCCTCAGCACCCTGTCTTGTCCCCAGGAGGCTCAGAGCTCCACGGGGCATCCTGGGGCCCAGGCAGGGTGAGGTCGGGGAGTAGGGGAGGTCAGGAGGATGCAGGCCCTGCAGAGCAGGAGAGCTGCGAGAATGGTCCACTGACTGGGGTCGCTTGGGCCCCGAGGCCCACGGGTCTGGTGATACCGAACCAGCCACCATCTCGGAGCCTAGGGCTATGGCAGGGATCCGGGCGGCTGGGAGGTTTACCTCACCCCCACTTCTGCCCTCAGTGCAGCCCCCCTGCACGGCAGCCTGACTAGCATTCTAGAGGCCCGAGGCTTCTGGGCCCCAGTGACGGGGCTGGCACGGCCCAGGGGGCGGTGCGTGTCAGCCCACCAGTGGCACAGAGGGTCCCTCGGCAGGCATCCGGGGAGTGGGCCATTCGGACTATTGGACAGAGCTGAAAAGAGCCAAATTGTCATAATTGGGACCCAGACAGATTGGCCTGAGATCCAAAAAGACTTGGAGGCACCCCAAATTGCCTGCCCATCCTGCCGGATGCCCACCCCACCCAGTGTTACATTCTGCCTCTTGTGGGGTGGATGCTCCAAGGCCGTCTGCTGACGCTCCTCTGTGTCCCCCAGCAAGCAGCTCTCCCAGGGTCCTCCGCCATCCTGACCCGGGCCCCCATCTGACCTCCTGAGCCCCGACTGTGGCTGTCCATCTTTTCTCCCTCCTCAACTGTCTTCAGCGGGACTCCCTCTTGGGTCCCCCCCACCATCACCTGAAGACCCCCCCACGCGCCAAGCACCGAATGTCACCTTGCCCACTGTCGCGGCCCGTCTGTCTGGCAGTGGCTGGTGTGGGCCTCCACTTGACCCTTTTAACATGCTGATATTTCTGGCAAAATTCATTGCTTGGGTTTTGTCTTTAACATTTATCGCTCGCAATCCCAATAAAGCATTCAAATGTATCTTGTTCTGAGTCCTCTGCTTTTTCACTTGCGTTCAGGATTGAGGAGGGTGGGAGAGAGGTCCCTGGGGGTGCAGGCACCCCTCTGCTGCATTCACAGCGCACAGGGCAAGTAAGAACAGCCCAAAAGCCTGCACGCTCTTAGCAGTGACCATGGCCATCTGCATGGGCCAGGGGCCCTGCTCTAGGACATTCTCAGGCGCCAAATCCTCAAAGTTGGGGTACCCTGAGGCAGGAGAGGCCCCCGGGGTGGGGTGGTTTCCAAGAGCCCGCAGTGAGAAGTGAAGTGTCTCCACTGCCAGTCCCAGCCTGGGGGTCGGTGCTGGGGGCCCACCAGGTCTGAAAGGTTATGGAAACTGTAGTTGTTGCTGGACACAGGGATTCCTATCACCTGCCTGTCCAACTGCACACACGGACACACTCAGTCTCCCTCCAAGATGGAGGCTACAGCAGCAGAGGAACCCCCCCCCCCCCCAGCCCCACACGCCCTTCCCTGACGGCTCTGGCTCTGGGCTTTAGGTTCCCCGGGCTGGTGGGAGAAGGTGGCGAGGCTGAGTGGGGAAGAATCAGAGAGGAGAACAAACCATGAGAGACTCCTAACTCTGGGGAACAAACAAAAGGTTGCTGCGGGGGAGGGGGCGGGGATGGGGGTCACTGAGTGATGGGCACAAAGGAGGGCACATGATGTGATGAGCACTGGGGGTTATACTGTATGTTGGCAAATTGAATTTAAATAAATAAAAAGGCAAACAAGGTGGCCAGACAGAACCTGAGCCTGCTGCCTCCCTGCCCCGCCCCAAGCCCTGGCTTGGCAGGTGCACATGGTGGGTAGAGGGGCAGTGGGACCGGGCGGTTTTCAGCAGGCAGGCCCAGGCTCTGTCTGGGTTAGGGGAGGCCTCCCCTCCTGAGCCCCTTCCTTTCTGTTTCTAGTATTTTCTAGTATTTCCCAGCATGGCGCTTGTGGCAAGCTCAAAGCCAGTCCTCCAAGGTCTCCAGGGGTGTCCAGATGGGTGGCCACACTGCCCCTACTCACTGCACTGAGAATTCCAAGCAGAGGGACCCCAGGGGGCAGCCTGGAGGAAGCAGGACCAGCCTCCAAGGATGAGGGAAAGAGCCAGTTGGATTGGGACACTGTGCCTATCTTGCTGCAGCCTGAGGTTGATGGAAGTGGGGCTGGGGGCACCAGATGGGGCAGAGGGCCCAGGCCCTTGCAGTCCTAAGACAGCTCAAGATGAACCGCGCAGCCCATTTCTGCCTTCCCTGGAGACCAGGTCCAAGTCCCATGCACGACCAACCCCCAAAGACCTACTGAGGCCTGCCTGGCTCCCTTCCTGGGGCTCTCGGGGTGCTGGGCTCAGGGTCCCCCTTCCTCCCAGCTCTGGACAAGCCATGCCCTCCCCAGCTGCCCACCCACCTCACCCAGGGCCCTCCCTCACTGCAGCCCAGCCCACCCACACCCCTGCCTGCCCTGGCTTTCCTGAGACCACCGCCACCGCTCCTGAGCTCCTGGCAGCCGTTCTGGGTTAGCGTGGACCCTGCTCCCCTCAGCCTGGCCAGCTGAGCCCCCCCAGGGCCTGGACTACCCAGTTAGGCTTCTCAACCTCTCCTTGCTCTGTAAACTCGCAGCTCATCCCCAGGGCCTCATTCACTCACTCATTCATTCATTCATTCATTTATTCATTCACACATGTGGATGAGCGCTCTCATGTTCAGGGCACCACAGGGTCAGTGTCATGGAGGGCAATGTGGGGTTGCTCTTGGAAAGCAGACGGATCCCTTGGAGAAAGTTATTTTGGAGCACAGGCCTGAAGGACCTGGGGTTCTGGAGGCGTGGGTGGAGAGGGACCTCTCTCTGGGGAGGCCAGGTTTAGGGATGGAGGAGGGGCTGTGGCTGGGGGAGGGGTCGTGGGAGAAATGAGGTCAGGGCGGGGATGGGGGCTGTATAGGCCATTGTCACTCATTCAACAAACATTTGCGGATCCCTACAGTGGGCTCAGTGGTGCTCCCCCAGAAGACCACATGTCCACACCCCAGCTCCTGGAATCTGTGAATGCCACCTTGTTTGGAAAAAGGGTCTCTGCAGGGGTCAGTGAGGGATGAGCTCATCCCGGATCAGGGTGGGCCTCAGTCCAAACACAGGTGTCCCTGGGAGTGGAGGGGCGGGCCCATGGGGGAGGGGCCGATGCAGCCCTGGGAGCTGGGGGAGGTGGCAAGGGAGGGGGTCTTGGTCCTGGAACACCTGCGTTCAGTCCCAGAGCCGACTTTGGACTCTGGCCTCCAGAATCAGGAGAGAATAGATTCCGTCCTCCAAGCAGCCCAATTTGTGGTCACTTAGGAAAGTTACATGAGGAGATACCTGCTCCGCCCCGTCCCGGTTCCAGGTGCAGAGGCTGCCGCAGAGCACAGAGCAGGTGACACATCCACCCTGGAGGAGCCCTGGGGCCACACTGCAGTACCCGCTTCCTATGGTTGCTTGTCGCCACTCCGACCCTGTGGAGTCCGGGTGGGCCTTTTAAATGTCAGAGCGGGCCAAGGTCTGTGCCTTATTTCCCTGCAGACAAGCGAAGTTCCCAGGAGGACCCCTGGGTCTGGGCAAACCCATGAGCATGTTCCTGCCTTGGGGCCTTGGCACAGGCTGCGCATGCCTGGACCACTTTCCTGCAGATACCTGCCCGTCTGCAGACCTGCACCCCCTTAGGGAAGCCCGCCGTCGTGCCCCCTCACCAGGGTGCTCGGTGCTTGGGTAAGCAACTACAAGCTGGAGGCAGAGGGTGACACTGAAGCCTGGCTGTGAGTGGTTGGAAGGACACGGGCTGTTCCCTGAGCTGGAGACATGGACTTACTTTCTGGGCTACTGATGCCCACTGGGGTCTCTGTCTGGCATTCTCACCGAGCTGCAAAGTGGCCTCTGCCATGGTCCATCCAGCTCCCTCCATGTCCCACAGACCCCTGACCCAGTACTTTCATGGCCACCCCTCACTCACTCCAGAGTCTCCTGCCCTTCTCCACCCCCCATTCGGTCAGTGGACAAAGCCCACAGCTCCACCGGCGGCTGGGCACTGCTGCTGTCCAGCTCATCTCCCCTGCGGCTACTCTTCCGTGCCCTCTTCCAGCCTGCAGGATGCCACTCTCTCCTTAGGACCCTCCATGAGCCATGGAGTAGAGTGCAAACCCCAGGCCAGGCTTTCCCGGGGTCACTCGTGCCCTACATTCTTCAGCATCTGGAGAACCTCCCTGTCTTCTCCACAGGCTCCTCCTTCTTCACACACACTAGCTGCTCCCGGGCCCTTGGATATCTGCTCCTATCCCGGTAACCACCACCCCCCCCCCCCCAGGCTCCGTGCAGCACCTCCACCTGCCGCTGGACCAGTGGGGAAGTGCAGGTGCACCGTCATGGCAGCCTCCCGGGGGGTCCCCTCCATGTCCCTAGCCCCCAGCGCAGAGCTGGCTAGGAGGGCCCGGGCGGGTGCCAAGAATGGCTCCATCACCCTCACCCTTGGGGGCTCCTCACCCAGCTGCCCTCCCTCGCCTTCCTAGCGGCCTCCTGGCCTTGGACTGCCCGCCTGGTTGCAGCGCCCAGGCCTCATCCCCAGCAACCTGTGTCCGTCCGCCCGCCCTGCTGGCTGGGGCTCCCAGGGTCCCCGCTGCTCCCCGCCCGGGCCTGGCACAGAGCTGGCGCTCCCCGCCAGGGGTAGTCAGGTCAGGGGGCCCAGGACAGGCCCCACACCCGGCCTCTACCTGCCCAGCCCCTCCGAGCGCAGCCCCCGGCCTCTCTCCCTGCTCCCAGCCCAGGCCTCAGCCGGCCAGAAACCAAAGAGAAAATGCCTGTTTGTGCCAGTTACGCCGAAAGCAAAACAGTTTGTGGTTTCTGACCCAAATTTTTAGCCTTTTTTTTCAGAACATAACAAAGCTCAAGACAACTCCCTCCCCCCACCCCCCCAGGCAGACAGAAATGATCTGTTTACACTGGCCGCAAAACATTCCTGGCCCGCCAGCCCGGCCCTCTCCCCCAGGCCGTGCCCTCAGCGCTGCGCGGAGGGGCAGAAGGGGTGCCGGCCTGGAGAGGGGGACACGGGGGACACGGGCTGGGCCGGGAGCATCCTGGGGCCCAGAGTCTGGGGCGCCCGTCTGTCTAGTTGGAGGGGCTTCCGGGAAGCAATGGGCAGGGAGGAGCCTGGATGCAGCCTCACCCTGTTCCCTCCAACGTTCCCCCACCTGCATCTGCCCCCAGCCCCTGCTCCCATCCCTCCACAAAGACACGGGGTCCCCGGGCCTTCTCCCTGCTGTCTGCCTTCCCCCCACTCCTTCCTGTCCTAATGCCAGAGGCCCACGTCCCCCTGCCCAGCTCGGCTGTGGAGCCCACGACGACGGGGAGGGCACATTCCCTGGCCTGGGAGCTAGCGTCCACACACTGGTGTAGGTGGAGTGGCAGGTGCAGAGCTGTGATCCCAGCCTAGACCGTGGGGCAGCCAGGCAGGGATCCCCCTCCCAGGACTCAGTGGGGGCAGGCGGGACCGTGAGGCGCCCTGGCCAGGAGGAAGGACTGGCCCCTGTCCCATGCATACCACCCTAGGCCTGCCATGGCCCTCGGGGGACCCCTCCATGCCCCGAAGCCTCACCCATACCCTCCTCTTGCTTCTCCCTGCTCATGTTCCCATCACCTCTCCTTGCTGTCTCGGCTCCTTTCTGCACCCCTGCACTGCCTGTGCCCCAGGCTGGGTGCTGTGGAGCCAGGGTCTGAGAAGAGGGAGTCCAGTGTTGAGAGGGGTGCATCACAGACTCACTAATGGGGGTGAGGCAGACGTGCCCCAGGAACCCCACAGCTGAGGAAGACCACCAGGCTGCATCTGAAGGGTGTGCAGGAGCTGGCAGGATGTGGAGGGCTGGAAGGGGATCGTGGAGGGGGAGGGAACAGCATGGGTGGGTTGGGATGGACTTGCTGTTCTGCATGAGTGAGGCACAGGTGTGGGTGCACAGAGAGGGACACAAGGGGCACAGTGG